CACATTAGCTCAACAAGACAACACAGCAGTGATGAATCGGCACTAATTAAAGCTTCGTTAGAAGAGTTCAGAGCTGCTTTCCTGCAGGCGTCCTCCTTGTTTTTACAAACAGTTCATAAAACAAAACCTGGGCACATGACTTATTTCTAAGGATGGATGGTGAAAGGAGCGAACAGCAGGGTAACTTTAGAAGCTCCTTCTGTCTTATCTCAGAAAAGACACGGCTGAAATGAAAAAATAACTTAATTGTTTTAAAGGAAACCAGAGAAATTAGGACAAGTACTGGGACAAAAAGAAAGAAAGCCTAAAACCAGGTTCCTGAAATCAGGCAACACCTTTGTGCATGAAGACACTTCAGATTTCCTTCAGCTCTGCTGTTGAAAGCCTTGTTCTACAGAAACTGCTTCTTCCATAAAAGAAATGTTTCTAAACGCTGGAGTCAGTCTGGATCGAAGATGATCTTCCGCACTTTTATCCAATCTTATTTCGACTATCACAACATCTTTTTTGCATGAATAAAAATGAATTAGACTGTCTTCACTCTGTCTGACAGAAAACACCTGTTTCAGGCACTTCACACTGAAGGACCTGTGAGTCCTGAAGGTTTCAAACCAAAGTGACAGAACTTCTGCTCTGTCGTAGAAAACATTTTGYTTTCCATCCGGGGAACTTTTWCAAGACAAAACTGAAGAGTTTTGGCTTTAATCTGTGTGGGATGTTCTGTTTATGACCTGCCTCCCCTCCCTCTGAGGGTCATCAGGGTCTTTGTTTAACTCACTCACATGCATGAAAGTGTGACAGTGAAAGTGACAAACACACTGTGCATTATACAGTGTCTACACTTTTTACACTTAGTTCCTTTTGGAGCCCTCAGTGGTCCAACTCCAGTGTCCAGCTCTGAACTTTAAAAACGATATATTTTTTCTCAGTGTCTGAGATCATCTGGTTTGTGGAGGCTGGTGGAGCCACGGTGTCCTTTAAAGAGCAGAGGGGACATTTAAAGCTGTGTCCACAGGTAGAGGACAGGACTGTCTCTGTTTTTACCTTGTCTTGATGATTGTTTTAGACGCAGCTGAAGACTCGTTTCTTTTGAGCAGTGGTGTCTAGTCCTGAAGGGACACTATCCTGCAGGTTTTAGGTCTTTCCCTGCTCTTCAGCAGGTCTTCAGGTTCTACAGAAAACTGTTTTTCACTCATTCAGTCAAATCAGGTGTGTTGAAGCAGAGCAACCTCTAAAACATGCAGGATTGTGGACCCTCCAGGACCAGGATCGGACACCCCTGGTTTAGAGAGAATCAGACTTTCAGCCACGTTAACCAGGTTTATTTATTTATTTATTTATTTATTTATTTATTTATTTATTTATTTATTTATTTTATCTTTATTTAACCAAGTTAACTGAGAACAGATT